TACTTGTGACTGCTGCTTGTTCTAGAACAGATGTATTGGTCACATAATCTGACCAGTGGATGTTTAGGATTGTACGGAGGCAGCATTGATGGAAGTGTTCTAGGAGTCGCAGGTGGTGGTGGTAGATGACCCATGATTTGGAACCATATAAGAGAGTAGTCAGCACAATGGCTCTGTAAACACTGATCTTGGTACTCTTCTTCAAGTGTTTATTATGCCATACTCTTTTATGGAGTTTTCCAAAAGCACTATATGCCTTTGCTAACCTTGTCTATCTCTCCGTCAATCTTACCACCTGAGGAGATGAGGCTACCTAGGTAATTAAACTGCTGGACTGATTTGAGCTCTGATTGGCCAGTGGTGATATGGGGATGATGGGGGACTTCCTGAGGTGCAGGTTGATAGAGAACTTCTGTCTTCTTTAAGTTGACTTCCAGCCCAAAGAGCTCAGCAGCATCTGCAAAGCAGGATGTTAAACGCTGCAGAGCTGCTTCTGTGTGGGCAACAAGGGCGGCATCATCAGCATAAAGCAGCTCCCGGACAAGATGGTTTAAGGTCTTAGTGTGGGCCTTCAGTCGCCTGAGGTTGGAAAGGCTTCCATCAGTATGATATCAAATGTAGATATCGTCCTGATCATCAAGGTCTGTTGTGGTCCTTTGGAGCATCACGCTGAAAGATTGTGAATAGAGTTGGTGCAAGAACGCAGCCTTGTTTCACACCACTGGTAATTTGAAAGGGCTCAGAAAGTGCATTGCCATATCTGACTTGGCCACCCTGATCCTCATGGAGTGAGATGATCATTTTAAGGAACATGGGGGGACATCCTAAACATTCCAAAATCTGCCACAGACCTTTTCTGCTCACAGTATTGAAAACCTTGGTGAGATCAACAAAGGTTACATAGAAACCTTTGTTCTGTTCCCTACGCTTCTCTTGCAGTTGTCTGAGAACAAATACCATGTCTGTGGTACTCCTGTTGGCTCTGAAACCACATCGGCTTTCAGGTAGAATTCGTTCTGCTATAGCGGGTATTAGTCTGTTCAAGAGTATTCTTGCCAGGATTTTGCCAGCAATGGAGAGCAGAGTTATACCACGGTAATTTGAACAGTCTGATTTAACTCTTTTCTTCTTATACAAAGTGATGATGACTGTATCACGAAGGTCTGATGGTAGTTCGCTTAGTTCCCAACAGTGCACCACAAACTCGTGAAATTTAGCATGGAGTGCTTGGCCCCCGTGCTTCCAGACTTCAGGTGGAATTCCACCAACCCCAGCTGCCATGCCAATTTTCACCTGCTGTATGGACTACTTACATTAAAACTACGACAAAACAGAAGAACTTTCTACTGGAATTTCGCAGTTCCAAATAATACGGTGACACTGAAATAAAATCAGCAAGTTCACTACCATCTTACCAGGTATTTGAGAAACAGATATCTGACACTACGGCCAGAGATTAATTTAAGGCATTAAGAACTGGAGACTTTCTCATACTGACTCTAAAAGATTTTTCAGATACATGTTAAGTGATTTCGAAGCCCTAAAAATACACATACAAAACTGACTTATTGAAAGAAATGTCATGTGTTGTGCTTGTATAGTGGACTAGTCAAATTCTTGAAGATCACAAAAGCATGGAAGATTCCAACAAGCAACTCTCCAGTGAATGTTAAGCACATCTTTATAGAAAATACATATGCAACTACATGGGTATGTGTGCATTATATGCAAAGGCATCATCATTTGCCTTCTGAAGATTTATATAGATTTTTTTTTTTTACTAAATAATGATAAGAAAATCTAACCTAGTGAGTTAGACCCCTATCGGGTCTGGATGAGGAGGAGCTTGTTTTCCCCACTGCAGCTTTGTATTAGTGGCTAGAAAGGAGTTTGTATGACACACATGTTTTGGCAGCTGCTGAGCAGTGCTCATACAGAATCAGCACTGTCTCTCCAGCATTCCCCCTGCATCAGTAGGCTGGGGATGGGCAAGATCTTGGGAGTGGACAGAAGTGGGACAGCTGACCCTAACTAATATTCCTTACCATTTGACATCTGGTCAGCAATAAAAGCTAAGAGAAAGGGGCAAAGGAGAAGAGGGGAAAGGCAGTAATTATAGTGATATGAGCGGGAAGGAACTGGGGTCCTGAGAATCCTGCCTGAAAGAACATTTTTTTCCACTTGGCATAAAGAAATCAGAATGATTTGCTTTTGACACAGAAGGTGGCATCTGTTTTGCTAAATACAAAGAGAAGACAATAAAATGTGATGGATTAGTTTACAGTACTGAAATTTATTTACAGGTTTATGGTGATGTGTTGTTGGACTACTTTTAACCACAAGAATTACCATGTAATCCCAAAGTCAATTAATACTTTGAGATTACATTTGAAACTTCCACAGTAAAGTTTACTGTAGGAATGCTGCTCTTATTTTAGTAGTAATTAATATTAACTCTTTTTTTTATTTATTAAGTGATTTTAACTCTGCCCTAATGTCAGAATGAACTGGTTAGTTTCAAATCTAGCAAAAGAAATAGATGGTACCTCAACTTAATCTGTTAACCATAACTGTAATTCACAGGCTGACACTGAATTTTATCATCAATACACTCAGAAAAATCTGCAAGTTTCTGCTGTTTTCAGTACTTTGGCTAAGGTGAAATGCAAATCAAAACTAATTCTTACTATAGCAAGGTTATACCACTTGGCATTGTGTAGTGGGCTGGCTTTTGGAATTTTAGGCCTTCCTTAGCAACAGGGTCAGAAATCTAAGGAAGTATTCCATATCATCCTTTAGCATAACACAACATATAAATAAGGCAGAGATAAGAGAGCTCGCTCTCTTCTCTCTTCCAGTGCCTGAAGGCGACAGGTCTTTCTCTTTGGGAGGCGTGGGGAGTTGGTTGGTGCTTCACACAGTTCTGCTGTCTCATTCAGGGAAGTATTTAATTTGGTTTTTTGTATTCATTCGCTATCTCTCTATTAATGGGATATTTGGAGGATTTTTTTTTTTTAGTGCTTTTTGTTCTTGTTTCCCCCTCTCTTTTCCTTCCCCCTCCCCCTGGGGAGCTCCCTATCATGTGTACAATATATTCAAATTGTATATATATAATTGTAAATATACATGTAAATATATATTTTTGATATAATTCCATTTTGTTCAGACCTCTTTCGGTTTTTCTGTGGTTCATTTTTTTTCCTTGCTTGAGAGAGTGGGAGGGGGGAGGAGACAGCTCGGACTTGTCAAGAGAGAGCCAGGCCAAACTTACACACATTGGCAGGAGGTGACAGCTTCAGCCTTGTAACTTAACCCACTCAGTGTATTTGGAACAGTATTTTATTAACTGGTTGTTCAGCTGTATCCTTGTACCTCTCTCCACCTTGCAGACCTAATAAAATCAAAAGCCAGAGCAACTTGTGAAATCAAAATTAAACTACCGCTAATGTTCCTATCCAGAAATACTAGTTTCATTCTGAGTTTAATAATAAATTCAGTCCACCCTTGCTATTGTTTTCCCATTTAAGTAAAACAGAAGACTATCATATGATTTTAAAGTCACAAAAGCATCCATCATAAACAAGTCTCCTCTCAGCTGCTTCAAGTGTTAGTCAAAGATCTGAAACAGAAAGTGGGATGAAAAAAACCACAAAAGAGTACATTTGTTCTTTCTCATCTGAGTTCACATATTATATATATATATATATGTAGGTATATATGTATGTATATGTATATACATACATATAGGTATGTGTATATATACACCTAAATATAGAATATTCACCCACCACTCTAAAATACACCCTTGACAAAGCAAAGGTCAACCACTCCACTCCTCCTTGGGTTGTGGATTGCAATGAGCTGGCCTTTCATTGCAGATACACAGCTAGAGAGGTGTGCAACTCTTAATGATTCTGTTTCACTGCGCATCTGAAAAGACAGATTCAGACTTGATATCAATAGAAGGGCCATTTAAACTACATATTGTCTCCCCAGCACAGGGCAGGCTATGATTTTTGGAATTCAGACCCACTGGAGACAATATAATTTCAAGGTCAGGCTTTGCACAAAACCAGAGTTACAGCCTCCAAATCCAAGTGAAATTCTGCAAGTGGTGACAGATTTCTGGAAGGATATTAAGAAGCAGGGACTAAAGAGGCAGATTAAATCCCCTTTGACTGCTTTCCTGCCACAGAGTAAATCTACATATGATTTCTGAGGTGGGTGATTAATAGAGGGACAGGAAAATCACATTTGAGCAAAGCCAAGAAAAACAGGCTAAATTTAATGGGACATTTGTCCAAGTAAAAGCAAGACTCTTTCTGGAAATATACTGTGCTACTCACCTGCTCAGAATGTAATGATTCCAGCTCAGAGCTCCAATTACAGACAGGTGGCCAAACATATCTTTCAACCTATTTCTAGTTTCAATCTTCCACAAGTGCCAATCCAAAACAAACAAGAAATTTGACATCAAAAAGAAAAAAAAATTGTTCCCTTGATTTGTTTACAAGCCACTGTCCAGTTCTGAATTGACATATGGACAACCTGAAGTTCATTTATTTCACAAGTAAGACAACGAGTATTTCAGAATTTTGACACCTATATCAGTGATGTTGAAGTCAGACAGGATTGCAGCGGATACACATCTGTGAGTTTAAAACTCTTTATTTTACATGTCAGTATTTGGAAGTTCATACATGGAAGCACTAGCCTTTACTACCTTTAGATTGCTGACTCACGACTGTAACAGGTAGGTCCAGGTATTATCTAACACATAAGCCAAAGTCACAGGAAAAATTGTTACTAGCAGAACTTTTCACATGTGCTCTCCCACTTCAAATCACCCCCTCCTCCATATAGTAATTAACTTTTTTTGCTTTCTTGTGTTTATTTCCCCCAAAAAAAGTCTCCCCCCTCAACACTTAAACACAGGAAAAGGTTTTTAAAACGCACATGCTTTGATCACACCACACCAAGCTCGTGACAGAACATTAACGAGAAACAAAAGTAAATAAAAGTATGAGCAAGAAGAAGAGTCATCCTTGTAGTCATTGTCTACATTATGCTTCAAAGACTCCTAAACATAATAAAATTTTTAAAAATGTCAGATCATTAGTACTATGAATCATTTAATGCTAGATTTTTATGTCTAGTATTAGCATTTTTAAGTTTTAACTTCCTTTTTTGAATTATGCTCCAGAGAGGAGTAAATAGAATGATTATTAAAAGTTTCAAGAAGATGTTACTTGTCTCTACAACTAACCTCTGTTCAAAAAAATTCAACACTGAAGAAGTTTTGTACTCTGTAGATTAAATACACACATAAACATCCTATATGAAAGTCCAGTGACAAATTGTGGAGAACTTATTTTGTGCAATCCTTCCCTACTCTGTCCTCAACCTTGTCTCCTAATCCAAAATTCAGTTTTGACAGACAACAAGTGTTTCCCCTTTCAGCTGTGGTACTCCCTCCCTCTGAAGATGAGCAAGAAGAACATTAGGGTGATTTTCTTCTGTATCTAAAATTTTGTGCAGTTAAAAAATTACACAAGTTTTCAGGAAGGACTTCAGATCTGGCCAATGGGTTATGTAGCGCTTCATTCTAATCCTAAAAACGTCTAACATCAGTAAAATCAGATCTGGTTTACAGAAAAACCTGTACTTCTAACGTTTAGACTTTTCACTGTGTTTGAAAAATTTTACAAAGCCTTCTTGAACCCAACAAAGTAAGATAATTCAAGAAAATTAAGGCATTTAATTGTCATATTCGATGAATAGCAACACTTCTGAAACACTGAAAATGTTTTTCTTCTTTAGCACTGGTAGTTGTCATTGTCCAGTGAAATAATAACAGATGAAATCATCTCTGTAACTCATTTCAGGTTTTTCTTCTCTCACCAGTAATTCATCTACCCCAATCCATCCTGATTGCCCTTTCAGCTATATTCACCTACTTCAAGACACATGACTGCGTATAACAGGCTTTTTCAGTAGTGGAAATTAAGTTTCATTACACTATTTTGTGTTATTTTGCCTGGGTACTAGTGGATATCACTAACTTTTGATAAGATTTTGGCTCTCACGTGCCTGTGTCAATTCTCAAAATGAGACTCAGGAAGTGATAAGTGATACTGTCACTGGACTCCATGATTCCATTCCTTAAACCAGTATTACAATACGAAACTGAAAATAAGTACAAGGTATCTCCAAGGAATGAGATCTTCTAAATTACATTAGCATTTCCTTAGGTAGCAAAGAAACAGATGACGCAGCAAAAATGAAAAAAGGGAGATATGAATTCCTATTGGAATTTTTTATTTTTTTTTTAAATAGTTAGCTCAGGTCTTTAATCAAGATTTGGACAAAGGCCCAGATCAGCTCACGCAGGACATGACCATAGCCACCAATTCCTAGTAATATTTATTTCTTCACAATGTTCACTGAGATGAATGCTCTGATTCCGGTTTTCTGCTTGTTCTGTAATCCTTTGTTTATAGTAATGTGGGAATGCAGCTGATGTTTTCACCATCCACTCAAGATCAGTAAATTTTTTCTCCAATGTCTGCAAAATCCACCCTTCCAAGCACAGTCTGTATTACTCTTCTTCAAAACCCTGATGCAGTCATGACAAGAAATGTCTCAGAAAAAATATAACTGAGAAAAAAAGAAAGTGTTTCTTCTTTATATATTCCATCTGTTCTACAGTGGGCCTTCAGTTTTGAGAGACATTTTCTGTAAGACTTACACAGATAACTTGGCAGAAAGCTAATCACATAGCTTGGATCTGTGTCCCTCTAAAATAAGTGCAGACATTTCTGTGGAAAACTCATTGTGTATACTAGGAAGTAATATTTTAGCCCACAGAGAGACCACACACATTCACTGGTATGTGAAAAGATTTTATTCTCAGTGGATCCCATCCCTTTATACTACCAGGAAACACGAAGTAAATAGTCATTAATTACTGTATCTAAGAAGATTAATGGGGTTTTGTATGTATTTAGCCAGGACTGACTTTCAAATGGTTTTAGGAAGAACTTAGGTTTTGGTCATGCCACAGTGTGTCGCCAAGACCCCCACATCACAACCTAGAAAATGGTTGTGGTCCTTGATGTAGCACAATGAATATTTTAGCTCTAACTCAACTCCTACTTGTAAATTACAGTATCGTTCTAGGTTTACATAGAATCATAGAATATCCTGAGTTGGGAGGGACCTACAAGGTCAACGCGTGGCCCTGCACAGGACAATACCAAGAATCCCACCATGCGCCTGAGAGCATTGTCCAAAAGCTTCTTGAAGTCTGTCAGGTTTGGTGTTGTGACCACTTCCCTGAGGAGCCTCTTCCATCCCAACCATTCTCTGGGTGAAGAACCTTTTCCTAATATCCAGCCTAAACCTCCCCTAAAACAGCTTCCTTTGGTCCTGTCACTTTTCACCAGAAAAGAGATCACTGCCTGTCCCTCCACTGCCCCTCACAAGGAAGTTGTACACTGCAAAGAGGTCTCCCTTGGTGTCCTCTCTCAGTGTCTTCTTCTCCAGGTTGAACAAACCAAGTGACCTCAGCCATGCTTCATGCGGTTTCCCCTCTAGGCCTTCTTTGTGATGTAAGTCACTTCACTGTAGGGATGAAAGACTGACACACAGTCCTGTATTGGGAACAGTGCTGTTTAATATCACCATCAACAACATAGACAATGGGACTGAGTGCACCCTCATCAGATTTGCAGATGACACCAAGTCGAGTGGTGCAGCTGACACACCTGAAGGACAGGATGCCATCCAGAAGGACCTGGACAAGCTCAAGAAGTGGGTTCATATGAACATCATGAGGTACAACAAGGTCAAGTGCAACATCCTGCCACCGTCGGAGGGGGGATGGGGCCGTGACACAGCACGGACAGGTCCGGAGACAAGGTAGGGGTGCAAATGGAATGCTTTATTGAGATGTGCAGGGGGTTTTGTGAGTTCAGGCGGGGAAAGGGCTAGAACATGGGGTGGAGCATGAGACAGACAAACGGGGGAACAAATCAGGGTAGGGACACAGGTAAAAGGGGGAGGAACATGGGAGGAATCGGGGAAGGAAGGGCAAATGGTAACTGTCTCCTCTGCAGCTTCGGCAGCCTATCAGAGAGGGGAGCAGGGAAGCAGGGAGCAGGCAAACTCCTGGCAAGCCTGGGCCTGCCCAGGTTGTGCACTGTGTAGTGTGGATACAATGAAACCACATAATAATGGTAAAGTCCATATAATAAAGTCCTGTCAATTGCTGTATGTCTTTCCACACGCCTGGAACTGCTCCCATCCTGAATCTTGTTCCTTCACAACGTCCTGCATACAGGTCAGGGCAAACCCCAGTATCAAGAAAGGCTGGGGGATTAACAGATTGAGAGCAACCCTGCCCAGAAGGACTTGAGGGTACCAAAGGATGAAAAGCTGGACATGAGTGGGAAATGGGTTCTATAGCCTAAAAAACCAACTGTATCCTGGGCTGCATGAAAATCACAGGGCCAGCAAATCAAGGGAGGTGATTCTGCCTCTATTCCACTTTGGCAAGACCCCACCTGGAGTGCTGTGTCCGGGTCTGGGCCCCTCGGCACAAGAAAGACATGGAGTTGTTGGAGTGGGCCCAGAGCACAGCCACAAAAGTGATCAGAGGGCTGGAGCACTATTCCCTGAGGACAGGCTGAGAGAGTTATGGTTGTTTGGCCTGGAGCAGAGAAAGGCTCTGGAGAGACCTTACTATGGCCTTTCAATACGTACAGGGGGCTGATAAGACAGACGAGCACAGACTTTTTAGCAGGCCCTGTTGTGATGGGACAAGGGGTGATGGATTTAAACTAAAAGACGACAGACTGATACTAGATATAAGGAAGAGATTTTTTACAATGAGTGACACATTGAAATATGTTCCCCAGAGAGATGGTAGATGCTCCATTCCTGGAAACGTTCAAGGCCAGGTTGGACCTGATCTAATTGAAGATGTCCCTGCTTTGGACTAGATGACTTTTAAAGGTCCCATCCGACCCAAGCTATTCTATGACTCTATGATTAAGAGTGAATAAATACCATGTACGCATCTTCTAAAAGACATTATACTTTAAGGAAAAATGTTTTACATACATTAATTCATTGAAAGTGCTTATCCTCTCACCCCCAAAAAAGTTACATTCAGTTTCTCTGTTGGTTACATTTACTCAGGATTATTAAACCAATTGAGTTGTGTATTTTAACAATTATAAAATTCACAGACTCTCCAATGAGTCCATGGAGGGGTACAGGAAGAAAGAAATCACTGCTGTTGAAAGGAAGATTTTCCAGACTGTTTCGTTTATTAAGAGAAGAAAATTATTGTCCCAAGGATCAGGTTTCCTGGAAGGATATAAAATTGGGTTTTTTCCAACATCCAGTGACATTCAAGAGTACAATTATTACAAAGCGTCGGTCAACAAGCCCATTATGCCATCTGTCCTGACACTACCTCCGTTTCCCAGAAGCTGAGCTTAATACCCTCATAGAAACTTCTCAAGTATATAAATTTAGGATTATAATTTAGGGCATTAAGTATACACATCTGAAGCAACCTTACTCAACAGTTATGGTCAAAAAAGTAATAATGTAAAAACAGCTATTAGCATCTTCACTACTGACCTTGCAACTGATGCCATCCAGGAAAGGAAAAGATAAGAAAAACTGTGGTCACTGGCTAAAAAAATACGACAATACATAAAAAGTCACAAGGAGATAGCAGGAAAATAGAGAGGTGGGTTTGAGTGTAATGCTATGGTAACAGATTTTTTAAGTACCACCATGTTTCACATGAGAAATCAATTTTCACATTAGTGAAGAGAACCAGGTGGGTGGGTAGAGAGCATGGATTTATATTCCAAAAAGGAATGGATAATGCCTAAAAAAAAGGAAGAACAGTGTGTCAGTCTTCACTAGGAAAAAAGAACTGATAAACTGTACAGCAATAGAAAAAATACCTAAATGAGACATTGCCTGAGGTCTTTGTTTCACATTAGGCAGATTCCATGTGTTCTTTCACCCTTGACCAAGAATCTGATCACTTACAGTCATGATAAAAAAAACATTCTCAGAAATCCACTTTTTGGTAAATTTTTAATAGCACCTCATTCTGTTTACGTGACAAAATGAACAGCTACATTCTGCAGAACTGAAGCAATTATCTTCTTCACACACAGCAAGTATTAAGGCAAGTGGAAAACTGAGTCATTCACGCTTTTCATGCAGAATTCTTACAACACACACTTTCCCTCAGAGGTAACAGACCCATCTTGAGGGTTTCACTAGTCTAGTTTTGATTTTACTTTGCAGGATGATAGCGTGGAGAAAGGAGAGTGAACCTGAACCAAATAAATGACAAACAAATTGCTCCTCACTTTCCTGCAACAGACATTTCCTAAATTGACCTTCTTGTGTTACTGTTGTCCATGTCAACAAGGTATTATCCTTATAACATATTCCAGGCCACAGACAAGGTAAAAAACACATCAGAAAAACAAATATCCTACCTGTGTATTTGAATGCTGCATTATTCACCTGTTTCTTTTCTATTTCAGCTCTCCTGTTATTCCTTCCTTCCAAACCTATTGCAGCATGACTGCTGGGTAAAGTCATAAGAGTTTTCATGACAGAGTGTTTCTTAGACACTTGAGATTTACTGGATAAACAATTTTAACTGAAAGAATTCCTTAAAAAAAAACATGTACAGAGATATTTGTCAAGTACTTTTCAGAATAACACTGATTGTAAAATAGCAGTACCCTAAAAGCAGATTTGACACACTAAGTGGGACAATGCAAATACTGACATCTGAACCAGTCACCCTGCTTTTCTTTTGTCAGTGAAGATAAAGAGACATTTCTACAGCAATATTCATCTTATCCTAAAAGAGGTGTCTAAAAAAAGTCAGATTGATCACTCCCTGTATAAAGAATGCCTGTTTACTACTGCAGCTCATGTCCAGCCTTAGATTTATTGACTAGTTACACAGGATCATACCCCATAGGAAATTAATATCTGATTTCCCAGAACCATACAGGCTTTCACCACTGCTAATAGCAGCAGCATGCAGGACTTTCTGTTCTAGAAACTGAAGAAGGAAAGACTTCACACTGTCTTAGAACCTGAATTCCCTAGACATGTGCATGCATTATTGAAAAGCTCTGGTATTCTACTTAGCAGAAAACAGAACTGCACTTTCTGACCAACATCATAGGAACATATCCTGAACACTAAGCAGCATGTTTCACTTACTCTCTAAATATTTCAATTATTAATCAAGAGGTCAACTGTGTTTAGATCCCTACATCTTCTCGGAAGTTCTTCTTGGACATGCAACCTGCAAACCCTTCTCCAATTTCCCCTAGCATTGCTTGAAGCAGAAGTCAGCACGCTAAAAGCTCATTCAACCTTTCTTCAGCTCCCTCTGTTGCTGTGGAGAGAAACAGCCTCCCCTATACTCAGCTCTCCTCCAGATCAACTCAGAGTGCTGGAAGTTTGGTCTGTTTTCTGAATGACCCTCAGGCAAGTGAGTTGAATGTGAGTGTCCCTTGGTTGCTGTGCCTTTGTCAGTACATGAAGCCTTAGGCATTGGAGGAGAAACAACAAGACAAGCTCCTCCTTCAGTGAGTATACACTACAGCAAATCCAGGCCTGCAGACTGATCCAAGTTCTGCAGTGACAGCTAGGTCTGCAGAAGCTGCACACAAGGCAAGAAAGAAGCAGAAGGAAGTGAGGGAGGGAAGTCCGTACGAGCTCCCTGCTCTCCTGTCGGTTATTGATAACTACTCCAGCTGTGAAACTGCTGCAACAGACCCTGTGCATTCTTATAGTCCAGTGAAACTTAACCCCATTTCAACACATGCCCCATCACAGAGGGGAAAAAAAGGCTCGTCTGCCGCAGGCATTGCTTGACTACGGATGAGACTTGTTTTTCTCTCCTTCTTTTCACCCTCCTCTATATCAGCTGCCTGTGAGTTCTGCTGCCCTAGGTTGTCTCTGTGACCTGCTGCCATAGGCTGTCTGCACACTGGTGAGGGGAACCTTGGGCTGAGCTTTCCTCTCACAATAGCAGCATGCTCCCGTCTAGAGAATCATAGAATCACAGAATCAATTAGGTTGGAAAAGACCTCTGAGATCATTCAGTCCAAGCAATAACTGAACATCACCGTGTCAACTCCACCATGTCATTAAGTGCCACGTCCAGTCTTTCTTTAAACACCTTCAGGGTCAGTGACTCTACCTCCTCCTTGGGCAGTCCATTCCAATCTTTAATCACTCTTTCCGTGAAGAAATTCCTCTTAAGGTCCTACTTTAACCCTCCCCTGGTGCAGCTTAAGACTGTGTCCTCCCATCCTGTCACTAGTTGCCTGAGAGAAGAGACCGACATCCACCTGGCTACAACGTCCACGCAGGTAGTTGTACACAGTGATGAGGTCTCCCCTGAGCCTCCTCTTCTCCAGGCTAAACAACCCCAGCTCCCTCAGCAGCTCCTCGCAGGACTTGTGCTCCAGAACCTCCACCAGCTTTGTTGCCCTTCTCTGCACTCACTCCAGCACTTCAATGTAAAAAAAAAAACAAAAAACAAAACAAACCAACCAAAAATACTTTGACAGGATGCTGATCTGAAGCTCTGCCTGCAGACTGCTGCAGCTGTGCACCGCTAGAGCCCCAGCAGTGTGAGATGGGAAACACCAACCCTCAGCTCGCACTAACTCCCGGCTGCATAACGTTTCAGAAATCCCTGCAGGAGGCCATCCTCTCTCCACAGGAACTAGTTCCTCTGCGTGGTGACCTAGTGCCCCGCCGGCCGTGCTGCTGGGCTGGGGCTCGGCGAGACCGCGGGCGGCTGCTGCCACCGTGTGCCGGCAGCGATGTTTGACGGAGCTCCGACAGGGAGCGCTTGAAGAAGCATCTGTGTCTGCCCGAGCCTGAGACCTGCAAGGGAAGACAAAACACTGAGATTAGACATGGATTAACATCATCCTGTCTCTTCACGCTGTTTATAGTTGTGCTGCGCCGCGCCACACAGGCTCAGCCTAAGCTAAGAGCAACAGCCACGGACGCTGGACTGAGGACGACTCCGGCAGTCACACGGGTGAAAAAAGAGTGTGTGTGGGGGGGAAACAGCGTGAAACAAATGTTTCTGGTCTGATAAGTACACCTGAATCAACTGTGGCACAAAAAGTCTAAGGCAGTGAAAAAAAAAAAAAAAAGAAAAACACCAAACCAACCAAAAAACCCTAAGTTTGTGTCACTCATGCAGTGAGCTACAGCACTGGCCTTTGAAGGACCCAAGGCACCTTCACGCATTTAGCATAGGTTCATGGGTCGGGTCATTTCTGAGAGATGGACACTGGGCAAGCTGCACATGCTGGCTGCCTAGAACCAGGCTGGTTTTCTGATCTCCACACAAAGAAAGATTTAGATATCTTCTGATTTCTGAACCTTCTCACCACCACTGTGGCTTATTCGAGTCATTATTTCTAATGTTATCTTACACTTTTTAATATAGTAAGGGATACTAAGTAAAGATTAAATGACAGATTTACATTTTTTTAATTTACATTTGTTCAAATTCATTCACAGAGCAATTTGTGGCAGAAAAATAAAACATAAGAATGTATCAAAATCTGAAATGCAGAAACCTAGATCATATTAAAAAACTTATTTTGTTTTTCAGACAAATTTTAAGCAATGTTTTAGGTGAGAGTAACAACAGAAAGCACAACTGGGTTTCTGGGTAATTATTAGGTACACGAGTAAATATTTATAATATATTAAGGGGGGTTATTTATTTATTTCTGAAATAATATTAGATGTAAGTTACAAACTGTTGAGATGTAGCTTAGACACCATGATCTCGCATGGGTTTTCTGTGACCAAACACATTCGAACTTGCTTTTAAAGTCAGCATTAGTCACCTCTGCTCGCCTGTTGAGTACAGCTTTGCTCATTTTAGCATGGAAGTCTGTGCCTTTTCTGTCCCAGCCATCAAAACACCATTCCCACAGGCCCTACTGCCAGGCAGAGATGAAGCATTACATGTCCTCAGATACAAATACCGAAATTTCACAGTGTTTCCCAAGCATCTCTCTGTTATGTAGAACTATGTGAAAGTCTCCATATAGTCTTGTTAAACAAAATTAACATGGACTTTAGCTACTTAGAAATTGTAGAAATGATCGAACATGCCATTATAAACTTGTACAAATCAATGATACTCATAGTGATACTGAAATCACTGAAAAGAAAGAAACCACCAGATTCCAGGTTCTACATTCAGAAAGTTCTGTTCTATATTCGTCCTTTAAAATGTAGCATCTAAGTGCAGCAAAAAAACAGGGCGATAAGAAAAAAATCTGAGATAGAAATCACTCTTCAATGGTGGTTTGGAAAGTTAGGAGGGAAAGAAAGCAAGCAGACACTGACAAGCAGCATAGACAGGCAAGAGCATAGAAAAGCCCAGAAGAATAGAAATGTGAAGAGGACAAAATAAAATCCTGAAAGCTGAAAGGAAGAGGGGAATACCAAATGGACAGAAAGAGGGAAGAACTGATCAGGGGAAGACAAGATGAAAGACAGAGGAAATTTTGGGGGTTTGTATAACTGAATTGTAACCACTACATGTTGATGCACCCTTAGAAACCAGGAGCAACAGGCAAGAATCTGTAAAATGAAGACAGATAAAACACCAGACGTGTGGCTCTGAAATTCAGAGTCTTGCACAATTGGCTCAGCAAAACAACAGTGGAGCTGCTTGGCTTACACCTGAGATTCTCAGCTAACTCTTTCTTCTCTCATGTAGACCTTCAGTCTTATAATCTCAGCAGTAAGATACCGGTAACTGTCATCTCATACTGCCAGTTAGCCAGCAGCAATTAAGAAAGCAGCCCATATCCATCATCATTCTGTCCCCTCACGCTGTTTGTAGTGGTGCTGTGCCATGCTGTGCTGGCTCAGTGCTTCTAAGCAAACAAAGCTGCCTGTGATCTCACAGCAGCTGATGAGATGCAGGGCTGAGTCTGTGAACAGGGTGATTTCAGCCATCCTCCCTTCCTTCTACCTGAACAACTGGCCACCAGGCTGCTTCTCCAGGTCTGTTTGACAGCATAGCTGCCTCCTGCAGAACAACACTGCCAGAGATGCCAGAGGAGCCCAGAGGTTGTGCTAGAGCTGTACTACAAACCCACAAGAGGTCCCAGCAGCTCTCAAGACCGTGCAGACGAACACTGGAATATCCCACACAGGTCAGTTAAACAGAGCAATCAGCATCCTTAGGTGATGGGAAGATCCTTTTCATTCATTTCTTCTTTTTTTTCACCCAGATTGATCTCTGTGCTCTGAAGCCCAGCAGGCGCTGTGATCTTGAACAGCTGTTTCGGCAAGAGAGACAAAAATGAGCAGCTTGCTCTTTCTGTCTGAGATGTGAGTTTCATATTTCAGCTCCTCCTTCACATTCCAGGCCTGCCCAGGCTCTCCTCCAAAGACTTCAAAAATGGAGCCTTTTACAACTACTTATCCTCTGAAATACTCAGTGCCCAAAGCCAGGGTCATTGTGGTCTTTCTGTCAGTGCTTTTGTGTACCACCATTCTCTACCTGCTACAACTCAGAATTTTTAAACCTAAAATCAAAGATTTTTATTCTTTTGAAGTCAAAGATTCACGAGGAAGGAACATTTCCTTGGAGAAGTACAGAGGGAAAGTAAGTTTTTGTTTCATTTTATCTGTCTTGAATTGTTACTGACAAAAAAAAGTGTACATTTTTAGGTAAATAAAATGTTATGGGAATTTTTAGCAGAGATTTTTGTAATAAATTTCTATTCTTTAAATAGTTAGCTGGATAAACATTTTTTTTTTCTAGATCTGCTCCAGGAATTAAGTAGTAGATCTAATAAACCAAGAAAAACAAATTCATATTATTTAGTATCGATCATTATAGCCTAACAGGAAAATTTGTGGATTTTAATCTTAGTTAAGAATGGTAGCATGTTGTGTTGAATTTTGGAAGTTGATCTAGTAAATATGATTTTAGTGCAAGTCCTAAATACCTGCTTTTTTAAATGTTTATATTTAAAAAAAGCTGCAAGCTGAAGTTTGTCTATTTATTGAATTTTTATAACAGATTCTCTGAATGTAATATCTTCAGCTGCTTTCATCATTATCTGTTTAATGAAATGATGATCAGACAGATTAAATTTAGCTTTCTGACAGGAACCATCATAGTAATGACAAATGCAATTTTAAAATTTAATTATAATCCCTACACTATCTATAGGATTTTTTCTTACTATTATAACTTTATTTCTCTGAAGGCAACTTTAGTTGTAAACGTGGCCAGTTACTGCCAAAACACACACAAAAATTACATCGCACTGCAAGAGCTACACAGAGAGTTTGGTCCCTCCCACTTCACTGTGCTGGCATTTCCCTGCAACCAGTTCGGAGAATCAGAGCCTAGTTCAAGCCCGGAAATAGAATCTTTTGCAAAAGGAAACTATGGAGTAACCTTCCCCGTTTTCCACAAAATCAAGATCCTAGGATCAGAAGCAGATCCTGCCTTTAAATTTCTAATAGGTAACTGTTTTCTTTTATATATCAAGCTGCCTATAACCATGGTATTCTCACTGAATTCCAGTCTGAGTTTGTTTGTCAGGAAACATTGAAGTCTTCAAACTTCTCTGCTCCAGCCCAGCTAGAAACATCCATTTTGTGGATGCATGAACTTGAGTGCAAAGATTCCCATCTACAAGATCCCATTTCAAGTTACGTGATTTTTATTGAAAAGCAGCTTTTCTTGTGGACAAATATATAATTATGGATGGTCCTAAAATCACTGAAAGATTTTAAATAAACATATGTAGATTCATTTTTTTTAGCAGAGGCCTGTGTCCACCTTTATGTAAACTGTATTGTGAAGCAGGATTATATATACTGTAGTTATATATAATCACTGATTTGTGTTAATTTGTCATGTGAACTTCAGGGCCCAGCATGCAAAACCCACTCATACAAATACCCCTATTACAGAGAGCACTTACTGACTTAGGGCCTCATATTCTCACAAGCAAAATGAAACTTTCTTCAGTTGACCAAAGAGCTCATAGACCCAAAGCCAGCTTGAAAAGCCTTTCTGAATTGTCCTGAGCTTTGGCCAGGTCTTTGACCCATGCTTAACACTGATATATTAAAGAAAGGATACTTAGAACATAACCATTCTCCAACACACCATTTTAACTAGAAAAAATGTAAGAGGAAGCCCAAACCTGTTCTATCTCCTTGACCCAAGACAGGATCACAGTTACCCAAATCAATACTACTTGTGTTTATGCAGACTATTTCAGTAGTTATATGAGAGATTCCAAAACCTCACAGCCTATTTCAGTTTTTCACACTTCCTCTTGTCAGAAAACAACTTAAATATCTAAATTAAATCTTTCTTACAACACTTAAATATTTTCTTCTTGCCATATTCTCTGTGATACCTCTTATGTACTTGAAAATTATTATTATTTAGGAGTCATTTATGTTTCACCACTGTCATTGTAACTGTGTTTCTTCCTACCTCCTCTTAAGTAAGATACCAAAAACTCAGTAAACCTTGTTGACCTCAACTCTTGTTGACCTGAGTTGCCTGAGGTCCAGTGGAATTATTGAGTGCTCTCTTAGCTTTTTATAGAGGAGACTAGAGCATGCAGGTTACAGCTGCATAGAATGAAACCAGATTCTAAATATCATTGCAATCAGTGTTAGACATCAATATCTATAAAGAAAAAAATGTTTACTCAGCATTATTTTATTTGACGTGCTGTTCATCCACAGGAAGGAGAAAGATCTTCTGACACTTCAGTATTTTTAAATAAAGCCTTTCTTTTCCTTCATTCCCTGCATCTTCAATAAGAGAAGCACCTGCTTTCTTCAGGTAGCTGTCTTGACAATCAGAAGGTTGAACATCTTCATGCTACACCACCTTCTTGTGCCTCTTACTGCTAGCTACAATTTGCCCAGCACTGTCAGATAGTCTAGCACAAAAAGAGTCCACTGGCAGCATAAATGTGGATGTGGAGCATCATTCACTTCCCACTTTTCCGATCATTAACAGCAACCAGTAAACCATGCCCAGACTACTAGCAAAGAACAAGGTGTGATTACTTCTGCATAAGAAGTTGAAGAATCAGTTCAGGGCATTGAAACAATTACAAGTGTAACTCGCTAAAACAATCTGATGGCATCCTTACAGATTCTTCAAAGAAAGAGCCTCGATGGAATTTCTGGAAGTACCTTGTTAGCCCCGAGGGTAAAGTTGTGAAATTCTGGAGACCCGAAGAGCCAGTACAAAGTATCAAGCCAGAAGTAGCAGCATTAATCAGGCAGATTATCATGAAAAAAAGAGAGGACCTCTGAAAAAGCCATTTATACTGGGAGTCTATTGAGTAGCATGGATACACAGCCTTTGTACATTCCTGGGAAATGTTGCTAGAAGCTAAACCATCAGGTGATTTTACTACTCTTTAGTGTTGGTATTTGCAACCAATATGGTTGGTAATATGTCTATTAATGCTGGATTTGCCCCTGCAGTAGCCTTGAGAAGGACTGAGTTTACTGAGATGGCAAGGCACTAAGTACCTTGCAGGATGGACCTCCAATCTACATAAGGTTTCTGAATGTTGCTTTTTTTTAATTGCTGATAATTACTAATTCAATTGTCACCAGCAGAGAGATAGCTGGAAAGAAGATTATTAATAAATTACTCAGTATTTGCACAGGTTTCTTTCCCGTCTACCAGTAACAAACAGATTTTGATATTCCATTAACACATACTTTTCCTGTCTGAAGCATATGGGGCCCAGAGGCATCCA